GAGATGATAAAAGTACACATTTTATTAAAGATCATCAACTTTGATGCTGTCGTGATGACTGAAAAAGTAAACATAAATAATTTATTTATTTATTCGTGTTTGATATATAAGTAAATAAAATTATTTTAATTTTTTTATATGTAATCTATATAAATACAATGAAAGGTCAGAGTATGAATGTGGGGATGAAGGCTAAGGACCCGTTTGACCATAGATTTCTCAAGTAATATTTGGAAGAAAATTTGATAAATAGTGTTTGTCTATACATTATTTGGTAAATATTTTTGGCAAATAATCCAAATTTTTAGATACTAGAAAAAATTAATATTTGGGCCAAATCTCATTATTTGGGATTTTTTAAAAATTTAAATTCTACACCAAACTTTCATCTTTTGCAAAAACACCCTCTATATTAGTTGTTTGTGTTGTAGTACATATTTTTTTTATGTAAACATCAAAGTAGTGATGGAATATTCAGTGAATATGAAAGTGATGATGATTATTGATGAACAATCGGCTCAAGGTAACAAAGTCATGTGTTTTGTCTACTTCACGATGTATGTAATAATGTTTGTTGCACTCACTCATAACTACCATATTGCTCAAATGTCATGGATACTACTTATTATTTGTTGCAACGAAGATCCAATTGACTTGTAATACAAACTTATGGTTAGTTTTGATAGTTTTTAAAACTTATGGTTATAAATCATATCTCCTAAAAAAGTGAAATATGTTTCTCAAATACTATGGCCAAAACACATGGTGAAATTTCACCCAAATTTTAACACAAATAATATTTGCCAAAAATGTTTAGAAATCTATGACCAAACGCTAGCTAAGAATGTGGAGGTGAAAATGAGGTGGGTAAGAAAGTCAGTGCATGAAGAGTTGAATTGGAAGACACATAATTAATGTGGAATGCCACTCTGTGAAGTTTATTTTCCTACTTTCATTAAGAAAGACATCTTACTCATTTAAAAAAACTTATTTTTCTAAAAAGAAAAATTATCTAAATTTTTTGACCAATTAAATATAGAAAATAAAATATTTTTCTCAGTAACAAACACACCCTTAAACTCACATCTATATGTGAAAAATGTAATTATCAATAACTGGACTAGATGCTTTGATTGTTCATAACAATTACATTTTAACTAACTTAATAAAAAAAATTGTAATACTGCTCTTATCTTTTTCCATCGACCCTTTTTGGCTTTTGTGTCACTGTTATTTGTCCGTCCTTTCAAGTTATTTGAAGTTGTTTTTAATTAGATACAAAATTTAAGAAAGAAGAAAGATTCTAATAAAATTATAATTATAATTTATTAAGAATAAATGAGATGTTTAAAGTTAATTAGAAATGACATATATCCCATTCTTAACATTTTATTCCAAAACAACAAAGACAAACAACTAGAATCAAATTTAGATTAGTTTAATTCATATAATTCAGCATAACACAACTTTACTTTTATTTGTCTGAACAAACTTTTCCTACAAGTGTAATTCGAAAGGACTATATACTATGAATCGACCAGATTTTGATGTTCCAAATTTATATAGTGAATCAAAAGGGAAAGCAGAGAATATAAATTTCATAAAAAGTGTATCAAACAAAATGAGGATATGTACACCAAATATGCAATATTACAGGTCTCAAGTCACTATCAAATCACCACGTGATACCTTCTTATATGCACTTCTTATAATAATAATAATAATTAAAAAAAAGAAAAGGTATGTGTTATTTTATATGTTAATTTTAAAGTATATATTATAGTAACACAAGCAAGATGTTATTATGTCGAGAAAACGACCAAAATGGTCCTTGATATATGAGGGTTGAAGATTTTTGGTTTTTTATATATATCATCTTATTGAAATAGTCCTTAATGTATAGAAAATGATGACTATTTTGGTCATTAACCTAAAACTAACCATAGAAGTGAAAATTTCGGTTAAACTTAACAGATGACTATTTTGGTCTTCCTTCTTTCACCATCATTAGAGGTGATGCTCCATTTTCAGTTCACCCACTTGTCATATTCTTGTAAAAAAAAATATAAAAAAAAAATATATATATATACACTCTCCCTCTGAAATAATAATTCCCAGCAATTCCCATTTTTAGACACACAAAAAAAAAAAGATCCATTAAAATAAATAGTATGAACTAAGTAAATTAGATAAAACACTTCATTTCTCTTTTACGAGATCTCCATAAGTAAATTATTTTCAAGTTTTAAACAATTATTCTCTCTTGTTGAAGGGATCTATGAGAAGAATATAGCTTTTTCTTATTTTGTCATTTTTAAGATTAATAACTTTTTTATGTATTGATTTTTTATTCTGTTGTTGACATAAAAGGCTGAAAACGGAATGGATAAAGGTGGATAATAGAATCTTAAATTTTTCTTTGAGATTTGAAGAGATTTTTGTTTGTCAATTTTATTTTTTTAGTAAAATTTGGTTTAAAAAAAAAAGGAGATAATGGAGAGAAGAATAAATCAATTAAAAATTGCAGCAGAAGAAGAATGAAGATTGAGGGAGAAGGGGTTTGCCATGTGGCAATTTTGTGGGATCCACTGTTAAGTTTAACAAAAGGTATCACTCATATAGTTAATTTTAGGGTTAAAAATCAAAATGGTCATATTTTAGTACATTAAGGACTATTTTAGTAAGGTAACATATATAAAGGACCAAGAATGTTCAAGCCCCATACATCAAGGACCATTTTGACCGTTTTCTCTTATTATGTCTAACAAATTCCCAAGAACAAATAAAATTGTTCGTATTATAATCCATTATCTGATTATCATATACTAAGACGAAGATCGTGAATGATAACAATTCCATATTTAATGTTGATTCATCCATATCTTCATTTTTTGCTGAGGAATGAAGTTTATATTAGGGAATGCTATGGGGCGGAGCGGATTTAAGGCTATACAGGGCAGATCTGGGTGGGGCAGATTTAAGGTTGTGTGGGGGCGGGGCAGAATGTGGGTGGGTTATTGAAGTGTTTTAAAAAAAAACTAATACGGGCTGGTTTATGCGATTTTATGCGTGTTCAAATTTAGTTTAATTTTTTACGTGTTATACGAGGAACAAGCATTCTCCCATGAGAACCTTACTTGTTTGGGCCTAGAAAGACGCTTTTCGTTCTGTTCTTAAAGCTACTGAACCCAATTTATAACAATCCAGCCCAACTGGTTACTTAATTTTGGTGGCCCATCATTTCAGAAATGGCCCTAAGATGGGTTGGTCTTGATATTTTGTCATCCATAAGAAAAGTATAACAAAAATGGGCTCCATTAGTGATGGACTAGGGGTGTACAAAACCGAATCAAACCGCAAATCAAGTTAAACTTAAAAAAAAAATTCGACTAGTGGTTTGGTTTGACTTGGTTTGCTATTGGAAAAAAAAACCCGACTATATTTGGGTTGGTTTGGTTTTAACTAAGAAAAACCAACCTGAGACCAAACCAACCCGACATTATATATGTAATTTTAATATTTTATTTTATACATAAAAAATTTTACTTTGATATAATTTAAAAAAATTTCTTATACTATTTCATAATTTTTATCTTTTAATATATTATTTCAAGTTTAAAACTTAGAATTCGGAATGGTCCAATAAAGATTACAATTCATAGATGTTGATAATTATAATAAAACTTAAATCAAAATCAAATTAATACTGATGCAAAAAGAAAATCAATTCAACGCTAAGAATGACAATAATATTGAATATTTGTTCTTTAGTTTTACACTGGTTTAGACAATAAAAATACATAATCTAATTTTAATTTTCCTTAAATATTTAGTAATGTAACTACTACTTATTAAACTTATTTTAACATGATTTAGTACTTTTAAATTATGATCATTTTCATTATGACTTTGCAATATTAATTTTATATGATGATTTCTTTATTATTTTTTATTGAATATTTTAGTGTCATCAGTACTCATCTCATATTTTGTTATTTTGTGTTATTTTCTTAAGAATCACCTTAAATAATTGTATTTTGGCTGAACTAAAGAAATATTTGGAGAACAAGTTAATTATATGTTTGTATGCAAACTTTACCGAAAAAATCCAAAAATGTGAAAAAATCCGAGGTTTATTAGTTTGGTTTGATTTATAAATTTAAAAATTCGACACAATGGTTTGGTTTGGTATTTGAAAAATCCGAACCAGCCCGAGGTTAAAAAGCCTGAAAAAATCCGAATTTTATTAGTTTGGTTTGGTTTATAAATTTAAATTTTTTACACAAATGATTTGATTTGATATTTGAAAAACCCGAACCAACCCGGTCATGTACACCCCTAGCGATGGTCTTGAGTTTTTGGCCCATCTTGACAAATATTTTTTTAAAAAAATACCATACGCTTCAAAAAATTCTAACTTTTGTCCCTTAGGCAGATGTTCAAAATATTTTAAGATAGTAAACACTAAACATGCTCAACAAAAGTAGAACATAGGTATTTTCCATCAATCATAAATTCTAGCTTTTACCCAAAGACAAACGTTCAAGATATTTCAATTGAACCTATTCAATTGGCCATAAGTTTTGTCTTACAGAAAAATATTGAAATTTATGCATGATAGACAATATAAATTAATTTCCAATTCCCATCAATTTTTTCAAGTGAAGGTCAAGATTTTATTAGGTGGGGACAAAAATTTAAGACCAAACACTGTTTGAGAGACATTAGACGTAATTTCCTCCTCTACCATTATAGGCCTAAAGATCATTTGAGCCCAATATTTTGGCCCTTCAAAAATTAGTAAAAAGGCCCAGTATTTTAAACGCGCAAAAGACGAAAAGCGTGCCGCCATTTACTTAATGACGAAGCTACGTGTCACCGTCAGATGTACGCCATCTTCCGAATTTACATATATATCCATTTTCATCCGTCTTCGGCTTTTCAATTTCGTTTTGTTTCAAAAACTTCTAAATTAAAGCTAATCAAAATCCCTATTTTCTTGTTTTAGCTTTTCCACTTTTTCCGAATTTTGAATTTTGATTCTTTTCTTCCAATTCAACAATATCTACTTTTCCGGCGATCAACGGTTGATCATTTGATCGGAATATTTCAATTATGGGAGCTTCTCACAGTCGCGAAGGTCTAGAACTTTCCGATGAATCGGATTACGAGGACGATGAGGGAAGCACCAGAACGGAAAGTGAGGAACAGTATGAAGACGCCGCTGACGATCACGCTTCGATGAGGACTCCACCGGTGAGTACCAAAACCCTTGATGAATTGGATTCCAAACTGAAAGCGCTAAAACTTAAGTACGGTTCCCCGGAGACGCCGACGAATCTAAGAAATGCCGTTAAGTTGTACTTGCATGTTGGCGGTAATACGCCGAAAGCGAAATGGATAATCTCGCAAAAGCTGACTTACTATGAGTTTGTTAAAACACTGCAAATTGGAGGTGATGATGAAGACGATTACGAATCGTCAAGTGGAGGAGATGAGGGCTTTTGGGTTTTGAAGGTGGGGAAGAAGATTAAGGTTAGGGTTTCGACTGATATGCAGTTGAAGATGTTTGGAGATCAAAGGAGGGTTGATTTTGTGGATAACGGAGTGTGGGCTTTGAAATTTTTTGTGGATGACGAGTATAGGAATTTCATTACCAAGTTCCAGGACTGCTTATTTGAGAATGTGTATGGAATGGAGGCTACGGAGGCGAACAAAGTGAAGATTTATGGGAAGGAGTTTATTGGGTGGTTAAAACCCGAGGAATCAGATGATGCAATGTGGGAAGATGCATCTTCTGGAGTCTGGAAGGGTAGTGGAAAGAGTCCCATGACGCCGGTGAGGGATAGCCAAGATTTGCTGGAGGAATTTGAGGAAATTGCTACTGGTGGAGGAATACAGAGTTTGGCGTTAGGGGCTTTAGATAATAGTTTTCTTGTGAATGATTCAGGAGTTCAAGTTGTGAAAAATTTCAGCCATGGAATCCATGGAAAGGGTGTTTATGTGAAATTTGATGAGAAGGATAAGTGGTCCGGAGGCTCAACGCCTAAAAAGGCTCTTTTGATGCGTGGAGAAACTAATATGATGCTAATGAGTCCTTTTAAGGAAGGGAAGCCCCGTTCAACTGGACTTCACCAATTGGATATCGAGACTGGTAAAGTTGTTACTGAATGGAAGTTTGAGAAGGACGGGACTGATATTACCATGAAGGATATAACAAATGATACCAAAGGGTCACAGTTGGATCCTTCTGAATCGACATTTTTAGGTTTGGATGATAACCGGCTGTGTCAGTGGGACATGCGTGATAAGAAGGGAATTGTTCAGACATTAGCAAATACAGGTTCTCCAGTGTTGAATTGGACTCAAGGGCATCAGTTTTCACGAGGAACGAATTTTCAGTGCTTTGCCACGACTGGTGATGGCTCCATTGTAGTTGGATCACTTGATGGGAAGATTCGCTTGTACTCAAAGACCTCTATGAGGCAAGCAAAGACTGCATTCCCTGGCCTTGGCTCTCCAATTACACATGTTGATGTTACTTACGATGGCAAATGGATACTGGGCACGACAGATACATATTTGATCTTGATATGCACTTTGTTTACTGATAAAGATGGGAAGACCAAAACTGGTTTTACCGGTCGAATGGGAAATAAAATCCCAGCTCCAAGATTATTAAAGCTGACTCCTGTTGATGCGCATATTGCTGGGGCAAATAACAAGTTCCATGGTGGACATTTCTCTTGGGTAAGAATGCCTAGTTTATTTAGCTTCTTAACATATAAATGTTGCATAGCTAATTGCAACTCTCATGTTGCTTGTTTGCTGAAGACGCTATATGTGAGGATTCATGTTATCTCCATGAAAATTGTTTTTTGTGTTGTGAGTTCATATAACTTGGTTGTTGCTCCTTCCGTGTAAGCTCTCATGCAACTTTAGTAAATGCAATGACCTTAGACTGAAATGATTAGTATGGCATAGGTAATCAACCTCAACTTTAGTAAATGTTCTGAAACCTCATGCGGCTAGCTTAGAAACTCAACTGCTATTAGAATATTAAAAATCTTTACTCTTTTTTGGTTGATTAAAATTAAGTATTTTTCCATTAAGAGAACATACTCAAGGTGCAAACTCCAATATGCCGTTGAAACTAGCAAGTCTCAGATGGGCGACGATGTAGTATCTTCTTTGCTTCCATATTTTGTTTAGCTAGAGGATATTCTTACTAGAGTTGGCAATAGAGTAGTAGACCATTACACTTCTTTGTCAAGCTTCTCACATTTGTCTATGTCACTGGGAGTTCTCTTCTTTGTTGCCTTCCCTCTGCTGTTACTGTGCTGCAGCAATTCATTGGAATGGAATATGACCTCCCCATAGCTGTGGAATGACAGAAGTATAACTTGAATTTGCATACATTTTTTTATTTGCACCAGATCCACCAAAGATCTGGTTAATGTTTGTTGCATGATGAATTTGTTTGTCCTAGCAACTCTTACCCTCTTTTTGCATGACAACAGATTACTTGGAAGTCTTTTTTCTTTGTTAGCTGTTTTTATTTCTCTTGTGCAGAATAATACTGTAGTAGCAGTTCATACTTGTATTTTACTCTTCCTTGAGCTGAAAGTAAGCGACTGACCTGACCTGCCTTGTATGTCATTTTCCAGGTTACTGAAAGTGGAAAGCAAGAACGCCACTTGGTTGCAGCAGTAGGCAAATTTAGCGTGATATGGAATTTCCAACAGGTGAAGGACAGTGCTCATCGTTGCTATCAGAATCAGCAAGGCCTGAAGAGTTGTTATTGTTACAAGATAGTGCCCAAGGATGAATCCATTATTGAGAGTCGTTTCATGCATGACAAGTATGCCGTCAGTGACTCACCAGAGGCTCCCCTGGTTGTAGCAACGCCAATGAAAGTTACTTCCATCAGCATGTCAGGCAAGAAGCGTGGACTTGGGAACTAGTTGACTGGTGATTGATTGATCAATGTGTGCAAGAAGATTTATCTAGTGTGTATATAGGGAGGTCCTAGTTGTGTTCTTTTTCCTCTTTCAATCCATAAATTGTGTTTGATTGTTTGCGTTTATGTTTGAGAAATTTCTTTGCTTTTTACACTATCTATGGGTGGAATTCTTTATACCATGCACAGATTTATGTCAAAGAATGTTTGAATGAAGAGGTGAGTGCATTGATTCAAGACCTATGTTTTACCTTTACTTGTCCATCTATGTGCATTGATAGATCTTTGCACCCTTTTACTCAATCGTGCTCTTATTTATTGGAATCCACAGGAGCAAGGTTAATACCAAATACAGGATGAATTTAAGTATCAATTAAGTAAGAAATTCTGTACAAGTTGGTCAAGTTATAAACCAGTCAACCTGCCACATTTTACTTTTGAACGGCCTGATTAGCCGTGACTAGTTTTTACAGAGTCTCTCAAGACGTTGAACACAAGCAAACCAAAGTTAAAACAATCACAACAGCATGAGGGGAGGTTTGTAATGTCTATTGAACGGTCAGAGTAGCAAATGGGTATTTTAACACAAGGTTTGGAAAGTTATTGTCGAGATTCTGACATAATAGTTTACACATAAAAAGATGAAATAAAGAGTGTCATAGGCGTGCAATGCTTATAAAGCGTCTCTGGCAGCAATTCTGCAGGTTATAGCATCTGCAAGTGACGATATCTCCAGCTCCAGATTAGATATCTTGTAATGCTGTCAGAAATTCGAATTATTAAAATTCATTATAAAGAAAGGAAGCATGATGACCATCAACAATACTCTATAAATCACTTGGAAAGACAACTTCACCCAGCACCCACCTTTTGAATCTGAGCCTGGTTTATTCTTTGTTCCAATTCCTTCAGGTCAATCTCATTGCCCTTTATGAGTTTTTCTATGGCCACCATCTAGTTACAGAGTAAGAGCACACCATTACTGTCAGGAAAAAAAACAAAAAAATCAGCTTTGGTGACATAATATTGTCGCCTTACCTCATCAGCCGAAGCACCAAAGCGTGCTGCCAGGATGTAGCTTGTGTTGTCTGCGATACCACACCTTTTCAAAGACTCTGAAATCTACTATGATAAAGCCAAGTAAAATGTAAATTGACCACAAAAAGATAAATCCATTATATTTCAAAAGCCTTAGAGGTTCTTACATGCTTAGATCCCGAGAAGTTGTAAACAAGCTCAGAATGGAGGGTCCGTGTAGTCAGTGAACCCCGTGATTTAGCTACAAGTGTCTTGTGTGCAGCTGCTAAAACAGGAAATACATCGGGGATCTGTTGAAATATGCCCAAAGATGAAATCAGCTGAAATGCACAGAGCACAACTAGTGAGTGAGCTTTGAGAATGAGTGAAGAGAGTGTGCTTACAAGTGATGCATTCAGAAACGCTACTTCTGGCTCCAGTGTTGCAGACTGCATTAAGTCCAATAGTTCTCTGCAAAAGATGAATCACTTAGATTTGTTTAAAACTTATCAAGTAATGTACTTTTGTTTGAAGCATAACTTATTTCTCTAATACTAATAATTCACTTCTGCTGATGTAGATGTAGTCATTTACTTAGTTAAGAATAAATGTCTGACATTAATTCTCTCCATATATAATGTAGGTTACAGGCTCATAACCAAGTTACGCGATATCTTTTCAAGCTTAGGCCTAAGCGTCCAAAACTTAACATTGAGCGTAGAATTTCATTCTCTTCGTCAAAGTACCATGTCCATTTTTCTACACCCGGATAACTTTTCCAGGCAACCAATTCATTTCCTGAAACTTTTAGAAGTACCATATCCTTCAAAGTAACCAAGGATTTACCAAAAAATTGTGCAAGAAATACTTCTGAACAATACTTAGCCATCCTGGAAAGAATCTCGTTAACAGTCCAAAAAATTTGTAAATGCTATATTCTACAGGATCAGTAAATAGTTCTTCAGGATGGACAAATCTCTGCAGAAACATGAGACAACGGCAGACATGACATGACTAATGAGTATGGCACATATCTTCATAATGGCTGCACTTGATGTCTCAAGTGTCTTTTTTCCATTAGTTCCAAGTGAACAAACTACTAAACTGCAATGCAATGAATAAAGAACCCAACTTTACAAGTCATAGACAGCGAAACCATCCATTGAAGTTAAGAGTTCTGGTATACCATGTATAATTTACAAACTTAATAATGCTTCCCCCTTAACTCTTCATGAATAAAAAAGAAAACAGATCGAAAAAACTAAACTTATAGTCCCCCATGATAGCTCTTTGGTAGTCCAATCCAAAAGCAGAAAAAAAGTGACTAGAAAGTAGTAAGCTTGTCTATCTGTGACATATTCATATCCACGACAGTCATGGAGCCATTTCTCAGTCCAAAAACGGAAGGAACATGTACACTTTTTAGCAGTGAAGAAAAACATATTAGCAACAACACAAGTCAATAAATCAACCAAGCAGGTAGAAGCTCATTTATAGACTTACACCAGCTTTTATACGCATCTCTTACTTCTAAATAAACCATAGGCTCATCTCCATTTACAAGTCTTTGATAAGTTCAGAAATAAACAGAGAATTTTTTCTTCAAATGCATTTACCCTTGCATCTTTTCCATATCTATAACAAATAGGACTTCCAGTTTTCCAAGTTAATCACATTGCTAGATATCCGATTAACTGAAGCATTGAATCTTTAAAGGGAGAAAAGAAAAAATTAGAGAAACTTCAACTTAAGCATCTCTTTGTATGTGCAACCTGTCTACATATACCTTAAACATAATGGTGAAACCTCAACTTACATCCAAGTCAATATGGACCATAAATTTTTAAAAAGATAGGTCCTTTAAAGTTTAAACACCATTTACAACAAAGTTACAAAGAACTACTTGATTTGTTATAAAGATAACAGAAATAAAATAACTTACTTAGAATTAGTAACATCGCTGAAAAGGGCAAGACAAAGGGTGGTTCCACCAACTTCAAACGCCTTCATTGTTAACTGAAAACATGAATTCCAAATAAAATAGAATTTAAACTACCAAAATCAATGAAAAAAACAGCAAAAACAAGAAGCCATGAAATTCTGGAAGCAGAAGGGACAAGTGACAAACTAGAGGGGTAAAATGAATTGGAAAGAGATATCTTTTTTTCTCTCTGAGCTTAGTTCAAAGAACTGGGAAGAAAACCAGGCCCGTCAGCGGTGGCTCAGAACTACTACTATCTCTTTTTGAACTATTTTCATTAAGGTGGATTCTTATCGAGTAAACTGAATAATGGTCCCAAATCATTAGGGTGTACTCCTGATATTTAAACCGGTATTTGTGGGCATTTCATAGTTCGGTTCGGTTAGTAGGATGAAATACCTTAAACTAGAAGAAATTGGAATCACGGCAGTAATGATGGACGCCGATTGCTGGAATCGCGAAAATAATCAAATACAGTTTGCTGGAGCGGTGGAGCCTCGAACTTGGAAGAGAAGGTGCGGCTGCGGCTGCAGAATGAGATAAACGAGTGGAAAATTGGTTGAAAACCTAAGGGCTAACTGTTAACTGCCAAGTGCAGAGAAGCAAACGATAGTACAAGTCCCTCCCGCACAATTTATGCACATTTTTTAGTTTCGAAATTCAAACAAGTCTATCTTTTACGGTAAATTTTTCATATATGTTTTAATTATTTTGAATTGTCAATTATTGTGACTTGTAATACTTTTTACGTAATTTACAAATATATAAATTTCATTTTAAAAAAATTAAAATTGCACGCGTAAATTTTCGGTCAAACATAAACCATTTAACTTCTGAAAAGCGAAAAATGTCACATAAATTAGGACAGAAAGAGTAATAATTAAATAATATCTACTCTAATATGTACAGTACTGCATAAATTTCGTTAAATTAAAATACTGAAATACTTACTGAAAATTGAATTGAAATTGAAAAATAAAAAAAAATCGATTCGATTCGGTTTGATGTTCTGATTTCATGCCCAACCCTATTTGTAGCATCCTTAAGGCTAGCATTAATATTTTTTTCATACTAAAATGAACCAATTTTTGTGTCCAGTCTTATTTGTAACATCCTCAAGTTTCACGTTAAATGTCTTTTTCACTAAAATTAAAAGATAAAATGAAAGAAAAGTATTTTCTAGTTTGCCATATAGTAAAAATGAAAGAAAAGTATTTTCTTGTTTTCCATATAATTGATATTGAAATTATGGCTTTGAGGCATGAAAAACACTATCTTTTAGTATATACTTTTAGAAATTACAAGTGGCTGAAGTCAAGTCAATTAATTTAGATATATATAAATAAATTTAATAGGCTACGATTTATATGAACCTAAGAGTGACCTTGTACTATCGATGTGGGAACTATCTTAATAGTTGAATGTAGGGTTATTTATCCATTGATTTGACTAGTTTTTTTACATTATGAGCTAGCTTGATGGGTTTCGCCTTAGGTTTTTTATATGACTTGGACGATCCTTCTATCTTTGAGCTAATTTTTGAAGTTAAATGAGATTTACGATCCATTTTTATATATAGTATCAGAGCTGGACTTATTTCAATTTATGATTACTAATATTGGACCTCATACTAAATTATTCACGCATAAAATGTTTAGTTTTAGGCGTGAGATGGGGTATTGAGTCCCACATCAATTAACTTTATATATAACTTGAACAGTCCTCCATTTAATCTAGCTTTTGAGTTGATTAGGTCCACGATCAATTTCTTTACCTATCAAACTAATAAGATACTCAATATCAATTTTGTATAATCGGTGTTCCGTTAAATATTTTCAATTTGTGAAACTTGAAATTCCATGAGAATACCTTATTTTTCAACTAATAATAATGACTAAAATGTGGAAATTTATGAATTTTATAAAGAAAATAACCATCTCACTTACTAATACTTAATTAAAATTAGCTTTTATATTTTAGATTACACACAATTCTTTACTTCATTAAACACACAAAAAAAAATGCAACGTAAGGTGATCCAATCAATCTCCGAATGGAATAATCTCCATCTCTTAATGCCCAAAAGCCTTTAATTCCTTTTTTTCTTTCTTTCTCCCCTTTACCAGGAGCAACCAGGCCTCTGCCTTATTCTGCCAAATTATTATTTTCCCCCAAAAAAAAAAATGTCCACTTCCATTTTCCTCCTTTGGCTTGTTAGCATCCCTCTAACAATTCATGCCGCCATTAATGTTAATCAACCTCAAGGTAAATTAATTAACATTGCTCACGTTCTGTGAATTCAACTGAACCTATTAAAATGTATACATATAATAAGATGGCGCTCATTATATAAATGTTGTTTCAGGTTTCCTCTTAAATTGTGGTGGAAATGAAAAAATCAAACAAGATTCACTTACATATGGACCGGATGATAGGTTCATAAAAACAGGGAATAAAACAGAGATAAAACAAGAAGGTTTAGTGCCATTATTGTCCTCTGTTCGTTATTTCCCGGATGATGCTGAGGAGAAATTTTGTTATAATTTCCCAGTGAACAAAGGGAGGAAATTGATTATCAAAACTATATATTATTATGGAGGTTTTGATGGAGGCACAGAGCCACCAATATTTGATCAAATCATTGATGGTACAAAGTGGAATATTAATACATCGGCGGATTATGCAGATGGCCTTAGCTCTTATTATGAGGTTGTTATGGTTGCTCATAATAAGGTTTTGAGTATTTGTCTTGCTAAAAATGAGCACACAACTTCCAACCCTTTTATCTCAGCAATTGAAGTGTTGTATCTTGATGATTCCCTTTATAATACTACTGATTTTGGGAAATATGCATTGGTTACTCTTGCTCGTCATAGCTTTGGATCTCATGATAAACTAACGTATGTATGCCTTTTTTTTTTACCTCTTCTATCTATTTCTTTGGTATGAGTAAGATATGCGTACATTCCATCCTTCCAGACCCCACCTGGGGGATCACATTGGCTTTGTGATATATAGTTTTATTCTTCTTTAAATGTATTTTTGTTACGTGCATATTAACTGACATTTGATTGATGATGTTGAACTAGCTTTCCAGATGACAAATACAATCGACATTGGGATCCATTAGTAGACGACAATCCAGTTGTAACAAGCCAAGCCTCGGTAACTCCAACAACATTTTGGAATATGCCACCAGAGAAGGTGTTTGAAAATTCAGTGACAGCCAGTAGAGGGAAGTCTCTTGTGGTAAATTGGCCAAATTTTCCACTTCCTAAGACTTATTACTACCTTGCTTTGTACTTCCAAGATAACAGAACCCCAAGTCCGTATAGCTGGAGAGTATTTGATGTCTTAGTGAATGGAGTGAAATTCTTTAGCAACCTTAATGCCACAACCAGTGGTGTAACTGTTTATAGCACAACTTGGCCTCTTGAAGGGGAGACGAAGATCACATTGGTTCCCGCTAATACTAGTCCTGTTGGTCCGGTAATTGCTGCTGGTGAACTCTTCCAACTTTTGCCTCTTGCTGGAAGAACTCTCACTAGAGATGGTAATGGTTCTTTTTCTGCAATATTTTCTAGGCAGTCTTAACTAGTCAGTGACGGATCCAAAATTCTAAGTTGATAGTCAGTAAGATAGTATGTCTAACTTATCTGTCAATTTAGGCGTTAGCTTCTCTAGTAACACATTTTTGTTGCACTTAAACAGTATCAGTGATGAACGATTTAACAAAAAGCTTTACCAAAAAACCTCAAGATTGGCATGGTGATCCATGCCTTCCGAAGGACAAGTCATGGAGTGGAGTAATATGTTCTTCTGGCATGAACACACGAATCATCTCCCTGTAAGTTTAATATTTCTGATTTGATCCACGGTTAATATTAGATCAATGATATACCACTTTTTTGATGCAACATTTGTGCACTTGGTTATGTTTTTCAATAAAGGAATTTGACGAATGCTGGAATTTCTGGATCATTGCCACCAAGCATATCTAAATTAACTGCACTCAGTCATCTGTAAGCTATCCTTTATCATATTACATTGCTTGGTTTTGTTATCTATCGATGGAATATATATACTAACTGTGAATGACTCTTAAAGGTGGCTTGGAAGCAATGAACTGACAGGTCAAATACCTGATTTAAGCTCATTGCAGAATTTAGAAACTCTGTAAGTTCCCATTTGTTGTTTTTTCTTCCTACTCTCCTTTTCTAATGACCGAGAAATCTCAGAGAGTCAACTAGCTCATTGTTCGGTAGATAATGAGCCTGCCTCTCTACCCTTCTCCACTTAGTAATCAATTTTTTTCTCGAAAAGGAAAAAAACATGAGATTTTTCTTCCTCCTACTTTACTCTAATTCTTATCCTAATTTGTATTTCTAACAAATATATTCATCTCCCCTGCAATGGAAAAGGCACTTGGAGAACAATCAGTTGGAAGGATCAATCCCTGAATCATTAGGAAAACTACCTAAACTTCGAGAAGTGTATGCTCCTTTGTTTTTTTTATCAACCTAACTCAGTTTTTGATTTTATATATTTGATGTCCATAACTAAAATTTCTGGTTTTATAGGTTTCTCCAAAACAACCGTCTCAAAGGGAGTGTTCCAGGAAGCCTAAGAAACAAGAATGCCATAAACCTTAAGTAAGCAATCTGTAATCTTGAATTGAAACATGTCACTATTTCCAATTTGATACAACTTCTGATCCTATTGATATTATACAAATATATGTTGTTTAGGGTGTCGCCTGGAAATGAAGTATCAAGTTAGGGACTGGCGTAACAAGAGAATTAAATGAAGAACTACCAGAACTTGTTACATACTTCTGAAAGTGGACAGAGTTATTCGGGACCTCACATGAGAAACACAAGTTATAAGATGGAATGAAGGGATTCGGAAGAAGAGCTTTTTAAGTCTTGCTGTACTTTGGTCTTTGTGTATAGCATATAAACATTATGACATCTACTACTTAAAAAACAAAATAATTAGCAAAGTAAAGGTGTATTTGTACATCAGTCATGACTAGCAATCATTTAATAGAAGATA